TTACCCCAAACGGACATCTGCGGACGATTTGGATACTGCGGTGGAGTTGGCCTAATGACGACTGAAATTTCAGCACCAAATGCGTGCTGCCGATATGTGTCAACCGATACTGTGATCGATGAAAAAATGTTGGTTCAGTAGAGTGTACGGACTGTAGCCGTCTATGCATGTCTAGGTCAGTGTGTACGTACAAGTACAGGTCCGGGAAAAAAGCTTCGAGCCAAGGCTAGCACGTGCAGCAGGTATAGGGGGTCTTGGTCGACTGATAATGGTCCAGTGATCTGGTGCATCAATGTGACAGTGTCAGGTCGATCTGGATGAACGACTACTTTCAGACTGACCACTGAACATTTTCGTTTTGTGTTGGTTGCTACTCTAGATAATTAAGGTTACGTATGATGACTGAAAATTCAGCACGGAATATGCAGTGTCCTTTCAGTTTTGAATCCAAGAAAAATAGCTTAACATGGAACGCGTATGGCATTGGTGATGACAAGGTGCGGTCTGTCTCGCTCCATCGCTATCCTTTCCGGGTGGATTGATCCTTCGATTGGATATGACTATTTAATTCTTTTGTAGATGATTCTTGAATCAACATGCGGTTGGAGAAGGTCTTCAAACTGGTAACAGAGGAGTGAGTGAGAACACAGATCCATCGAGACGGGTCCGGTTTCATAAGCAATTACTACAACTGATATGCTTCATTGCTGTCCTAAATTTGATGCTCCATATTAGCATTGTACAAATGTCGGATGCTAAAGCGTCGTATGCACAACATTTTTGGCCATTGCTACCTGTTGCCTCGCTTTTCAAGAAAATGATGGACACTAATTAATTGATTTAAAGCGTAGATCAAAATTGGCCGTAAATCCATCCGGCATTCCTGGGACCTGCTAGGAATTGGCGCGAGGAGGGGAGACATACTCCATCTTCTTCTTCTCCTTGGCCTCTACTACTAGAGTGCATGCACCCATAACTGTCAAGCAAGATAAGATCGCTACTGCTGAGTTAAACGATTTGCTGCCAAGCATGGCCGCCCACGCATTCGATATAACCAACATAAATGCGTACACCAATCAATGCCAGTCACCCTCACATCCTGATTGTATCTAGCCCGGCTTCTAATAGATTTTGGCCTTTCCTTTCTCTAGAGAAAGAACGAACGTACACGCACGGTAGCTGCTGATGGGAGGAGTACCACTATTCAGGCTGGTCGTAATGGGAGTATCATAAGTAGTATCATGCACGCCAATTAAGCAATTTTGACGAGGTGGTATAGAATTAAATGAAGAAAGAGAGACTTGAGTATCATATCATGATACCGTATCATATTAAATGATGTACTAGGGTGGTGTTTGGTTCTCTAGTCCTAGGACTTTTTCTAGTCCCTAGGACTCTTTGAAAAAGACTCTCAAGAAGGTGCTTCTAAGGACTTTTAGCAAAAAGTCCCCCATGTTTGGTTTGCTAGGGATTTTTTTTAGTCCCAACACAAAAAAGTCCCTGAAACCAAACACCCCCTAGTTTGTGTCATGCATGGCATAAATATAGTCCTATATGATACCAAAATATGATACTCTCCATTACGGATGTAATATCATACACTAGTATTATATGCATGATACTATTATATGATACTCCCCATTACAGCCAGCCTCATAGGCGGCGGTTGAAATCGTTTTTATTGCGCCGGACATTACATGATCGCGAGACACGACAGCGAGGACGAGGAGGAGGAGACAAGGGACGTGTCCGCCATGGTCGCTGGTCAAAGAAGAAGAATGAACAGTTCTTTCTGTCTTCTTCGGATCTTGGAAGATCTCTGTCTGCCCTTGTTGCAGTGTTGATTAATTTGTCTTCAGGTTTCCATGACAAGACAGATATGTATCTACTGAACTGGTGCAGACCTCTATTATACTTGTTATGTTTGAATTTATATTGAAAATACTCTGTTTTCGGGTGAAAAACTCCTGTCTTCTGAGAAAAATATGCACAAACACTATTCCCACGAAATAAGTTAGCGGACGCTATCTTCGGCTATAGTGGTCGTAGCGTTTGCACAAGCCAGCCGCGACGATTGTTGGAGCTTCCGCACCAGGTTACCTATCAGAAGAACACATCATTGTTGGCGAATGCTACGAAATCAATCAGAAGCATCCCATTCGGCGCGGGGCAGACATGCGGCTGCCGAGAGTTTTCGTCGTTTTAGGGTAATGGAGCTGTTCGCTAGCTTCAGCGTCAGCGACCTTCTCATCCAACTCTGCAAGGCATCTCCCCGGGGTGTTAAGAGATGTGGCGGCGCAGTGGCTATGGCGGCGAATCCCATTGGTGACTGCCGGCAGCTTAGAAACGAAGAGGCGCGGGACATAGACAAATAGTCTGCCTATGATTATTAGGAGGGCTTATCTGCAAAGCGGGCTTAAGTAAATGGTTAGCGAGCCCACCTACACGATATATCACCCTATGTTGCCTATTCAATCCCTCACAACGCAAGTTTCCACATTTTCACTGATTGTGGGTTTATACTGGATATGTTGCCTCATTGCAATAGGTATTTTTAACACAACAGTGATGCAGAGGCTCAAACATACGCATATACATTCAGTCCTACTTTCGGGAGATGCCCAGATTTGCTTTTGCAAGGGGCATAGATTTGCTTCTCGTGAAGCGAAAAAATGTATTTTTTTTTCTTTCATGAGAGGCACAATTTTGCTTCTCATGGAGGCACAGCTTTGGTTTCGCGTTGTGCCTCTCGAAAAAGGGAAAAAACATGTTTTTTTTCTTAAGTGAGAGGCACCGATTTGCTGCTCGTGGAGGCACATGTTTGCTTACGTGAGACGCACAGTTGCGGACTCTCGAAAAGGGAAAATAACGTGTTTTTTGTTCCCACGAGAAGCACATATTTTCTTCTCGCGGAGCCACAGGTTTGCTTCAGCGATAGGCACAACTTGAAAAGGGAAAATGTGTTTATTTTCTCCCGCGAGACGCGCATATTTTATTCTAGTGGAAGCATAGATTTGCATCTGCGAGAGACACATCTATGCATCTTAGAAAGGGAAAAACTGTGAAAAAACCCATGCTTTCAACTGTGTTTTTTTTCCTTCTGGGGCTTTTCATGAAAAAATGTTCGTCGAAACTTGTAACATGGGTTCTACTTTTGAAGATCTCAATGCGACAAATCCAACGATGAAAGCGATTCGCGATTTCGACGCAGGGTTAAAGAGATAAAACATTTTGAATAAACAAATCTAAAAAAAACTTCCAGGTTGCAACAAGTGGCGCACTTGCGGGTGACCTTTCAAAGGGATACCCCTTAGTTAGTAATTTTTGGGTATCACGGTTTCTTGAGAGACATGGAAAAACCGGTATCTGGAAATATCCACGAGGAAAAAAATCCTTTATTACTAGTACCATTTCCAGTCATTTGTTCGACAGACCAGCATGTGAAATCAATCGATTCTAAGGCCAACTTCAATGCAGCGATCCACACGGACGTGCATTTTGTTTCCGTTTTATACGTTTGGGTAGCCAAAGCGGACAATGCTAGTGGACAGCCGGACACCACCAGCATACCCAACACGGAAGACCCATTTGTGACGGACAAGCAACTTTTTGCAAAGAAAAAAGAAACAAATGTCACCGACACCACCAGGAACCAGATCACGCACGCCTCTCTCAAGCCCGGAGTGGAACTGGAGCATAGGTCCACCGATCGGATCCCGACGGGACTGGTGGCGGGATCTCCAAGGAGGCGGGCAGGAGGACGAATGGCGGCGGGAGATCCAGCTCCTCGGGCTGGAGGAAATGGGGTCACCCACGCCGGACGCACAGCACCGACTGCCCGCGCCGCCACCTTGCCTAGCCGAAAGTGGGAACGCCGCCGCCCTGAGTGCCTGCCCACGCCGCCACCTCGACTTGCCTTATCTCGCCGTGCACCGCCTTGCCATGCCGCGCCACTGGCCTTGTGTTGCCTCGCCGCCGGCCTCGTCTAGTCGTCTGCCACAGTGTGTGATTGCAGCATGGTGGGTGGGCCAAAAGACAAAAAGGAGGAGAGGGAAAGAAAGGTGGATGGATGGTGGGCTAGGCTGGATAAAAAGGACACATATGGATGCATGGGTCTGTGTCCGCCTCGACACAGATCTGACCTAAATTTGAAATGAAAATGGGTTCAAATGGACACAAAACAGTCAAAATAAAATGTGATGGGTCTCTATGTTGTGCTGTTGTTTTTGTCCGCACGGACCCAAACACACAGGGCCGAACGGAATGGATCCGTGCAATGGAGTTTACCTAAGGAAGTCCCCTAACCCTGCTTCATTAATCAAATTAATTAATCTATGACGATGACCCATTCAAAATGTGTACGATGCCTTTGAGTGGCATGCACATGGAATGGGACTAGGACCGACCAAAGATTCCTGGCTTTGGGAGGCGTGGATCAAGGTGATTAATCAAAGTTCATCAGCAAAAAACAATGACAGTCCCATGTGCCGCACCCTCGGTAACATGAGGCGGCGTGGATCTACAGGCCAGCTAAAGTTTATTAACTCTATTGAACGTTAAATCTCGGGCTATGTCTGGTGGATGTCGGCATCAGCGCGAATCTCCCTCCCACATCTCTTCTTCTGGATCTCAAGGGTGCGAGAGGAGCAGCCATGGCGGCATGGCCGCAAGCTGCAAGTGGTGACTGGCGCTCTTCGGCTTAGAGCAATCATCAGAAGCAAAGGCTTCTCGATCTACTCCGGTAAATCTCTTGCCCAGCTCATGGTAATCTCCCTGCACTTTTTTTTCTCTAGAACCTGTACAGGATTAGTCTCTTATGTTTTATTTATAAATATCTTTCGTTCCAGCATCCTATCTATCTCTGGAATTTCTGACTTATATAATGCGCATATATACTGTTATCTATCTCTGGAATTTCTGACCTATATAATGCCCATACTACAGGTTCCTCTCAAGCATAGGTAGAAGCCAAGATTTAAAAAAAAGTTGGCCGGCAAGAGATGACCGGAATAATGGTGAGCGCTTCTACAGGCGCAATGAACTCCCTTCTGGGTAAGCTGACCACCCTCATGGGGGAGCAGTTTGCCAAGATGAAGAACTTGCGAAAAGAGGTGAAGTTCATCCGTGATGAGCTTGGCAGCATGAAGGATGCTCTCGAGAGACTTGCAGATGTGGATGAGCTAGATCCACAGACCAAGAGTTGGAGAAACAAACTGCGGGAGTTGTCTTATGACATCGAAGACATCATCGATGACTTCATCCAAAACATTGGGGAGAAAGACAAGAAATCCGGGTTTTTCCGCAAGATGATTCGACGTCTCAAAACTTCAAGGGCCCGTCACAGGATTGCTGGACAGATTGAGGAGATCAAGAAACTTGCGCATGAGACTAGTGATCGCCACAGAAGATATGACCTTGATAAGATTATCCCCCAATCAAGTAATGTTGTTGCCATTGACCCACGAGTTAAAACACTCTATGAAAAGGCGGCTAACCTTGTTGGCATGGAGGGGCCAAAGAATGAGCTTGTAGATTGGCTAATTGATGAGGAGAAGCAGCTTAAGGTGATATCAGTTGTGGGTTTTGGAGGTCTAGGCAAAACAACACTTGCCAATGAGGTATACAAGAGGCTAAAGGGCGATTTCGCCTATGGTGCATTTGTGCCGGTGTCCCAGACGCCAAACATTCCAAATCTTCTACGAAGTTTACTATCCCAACTGGGTACACAGCTGCCTATTGATGCTTGCGATTTACATCTTATTGACAAACTAAGAGAATGTCTTCAGACTAAGAGGTACATACTACTGCCCCCTGTATTATATTTTTTTTATTGTCTTTGATAGCAAGATATCGTAAGGATACTTATTATACATGCCTAATTTGGTCGCAAATAGAGAATGAAATATATTGTGTAGATAATGATTTTATGGAAAAAAATAAATCTGACCAGCTTATCAAACAGTAGAAGTGTTGAAACAATTATGCATATAGTAACTGCACTTAACAATCTGTAAATACTGTTTAACTTTCAGTTGTTTACTAAGTTTCTTATGAATGAAAAGTATTACGTTTTTTCCTGTAATGTTGTGTTTCTTTTTGTTAACCAACCACAATTAATAATTGATTGAAGGAGGTTCAATCTCTCTTGTTTAAACTTCTATTTTTTGATAAGTGTTCTTAACATTATGTTTTATGTATGGCAGGTACTTGATTATAATTGATGATCTATGGGATGTATCAGCCTGGGAATTTATTAAATGTGCTTTCCCAGAAAATGATCTTGCCAGTAGAGTAATAGTGACTACAAGAAGTCTTGAAGTTGCTACGGCGTGTTGCTCCCCTCACCATGAGTACATTTTACAAATGAAGCCCCTTAGCAATGAAGACTCAAGAAAGCTATTTTTTGGCAGGATATTTGACTCGGAGGACGTTTGCCCTAACCACCTTAGAGATATTTCAGTTGAAATTCTCAAAAAGTGTGGTGGCTTACCTCTTGCAATTATTAGCATAGCAGGGCTTCTAGCTAGTGAAGGTCCCAAAGAAGAAGAGTGGGAACATGTACGGAATTCTTTGGGCTCGATGTCTGGAACAAAACTCACACTGAATGGGATGAGGCAAATCTTAAACCTCAGTTACAAAGATCTTCCATCTCATCTGAAGACTTGCTTGTTATATCTTGCTATGTATCCGGAGGACTACACGATAAAGAGGTGTGATCTGGAGCGTCAATGGATGGCGGAAGGTTTCATTAGTAAAGAAAATGGACAAGATGTGGAGAAAAATGCAAGAAACTATTTCAATGAGCTTATCAATAGGAGCCTTGTCCAACCCGTAAAGTTTGATAGAGGAGGGGCAGTGACAGAATGCAAAGTACATGATATGATGCTGGATCTTATCTTGCTTAAATGTAAAGAAGAGAATTTTCTCAGTATAGTGGACGGCTCAGAAGCCATTACAGAACATGAATACAAGGTTCGTCGGTTGTCTCTTCGTTTGAAATATTCAGATAATGGAATATTACCAGGAAATATTAGTTTGTCACAGGTTCGCTCTGTTATGATCTTTGGATGCTCTGGTAAAATACCTCCTCTGTCAAGGTTCAAGTTCCTCCGAGTTCTTTTTGTCGAGAAATACTATGCAATGGACCTCACTGGAATGGGTGAACTGTATCAGCTAAGATACGTGATGACTGGCGATGCTTATGGTTTGCAGCTACCAAGACAGATTAGAGGGCTCCAGCAATTAGAAACACTTAATACACGCAGTTCCAGTATTCCATCTGATATAGTTCATCTGCCACACTTGTCGCATCTGGATATTGGATATCAACGTAAGCTGCCTGATGGGATCGGAAACATGAAATCCCTGAGATTTCTTAGGGAATTTAATTTGGATTTTGAAAGAAACTCACTAGATAACTACAAGGGCCTTGGAGAGCTTACTAATATGAGAGATCTCTCTCTCTCTCCGGCAACTTTGAAGATCACGACGCCGGTGTAAGACGCATGGATGTTCTATGCTCTTCTTTGAGAAAATTTTGTAGGCTCGAGTCCCTGGACATAGATAAGATGAAAGGATGCATGGATGGTTTGTCTCTTGCTCCCTGCAGCCTTCAGCGACTCCATGCCGGTAGTTCAATAAGGTCGGACTGTTGGTTTTCCAGGGTCCCTAACTGGACGAGGGAACTTCATAACCTCCATGAGTTGCAACTCCAAGTTGACGAGCTGCTCGATGATGGTGTTGGTATTCTTGGGGGGTTGCCCTCCCTCATCGACCTTGATTTATATGTCCAAAGATCCCAAAAACAAATGATTACCATCCACGGAAGAGGAGCATTCCCTGTTCTAAAGCGTTTTGTGATCGTCTTGAGCAGAGCATCATACCTGATCTTCCAATCTGGGGCGATGCCCATGGTCCAAAGGCTAAGGTTAAGTTTCAACATCGATGTACAGAAGCAGAACGGAGCCGGACCAGCCGGGATCGAGCACTTGGCTGCACTGGAAGAGGTGTCTGCGCGTATCGTGTGTGTCGAGGCTACGAAATCTCAAAAGAGCTGCGCTGAATCTGCCTTCAGGAGTATTGTCGACAGGCATCCGAACAATCCTCGCACTGTAGTCCGTTTTTGGGGGTGACCGGTTTTTATGGGCGACTAATTTCTGCTTCGGCTCTGCTACTGGTACGTGCTGTGTAGAGTTCCTGTAGCATCATACACGCTTTATTGTGTTAATCGTTTCTTTATCAGTAATCGTTTCTTTTATCATGGAAAGGTTTTCCTGCAGTGTCATTAGTGAATATTTTGTGCAGTAGCCTGATTTCCACCGAACTAAATATAGGTGTATGCTCAAGTTCACGTTGCTGGTCGAATTTTGACCACTAGATGTTACGTGTGTAAACAGTTCGAAGAGAGGTTATTTTCCTGCTCACAGGGAACAATAATGAGTTGTCTACCACTTGGAATAAGTGGTTTAGCTATCTCAAAAACAATCAACAATAATGAGTTGTCTGTTTTCCAAATTCGAATGAGATATTCCACATCAATTTTTTAGTTTGATTCATTCTTGCTAATTAATACGAGTAATGCATTTATTGGTACTGTACGCTGTGCTACCCTGCTAAGGTCTTCTCTTCCATGCATGGTGTGATGATGTATGGCTTTCGCTTTCGATTCTTGAGATAGCTTTCCTCATGGTTCTGTGATCTTTGTGGTATTCTTTAATTTTTTGCGGCAACTTTTATTGTTAGATTTATGTGAGAAACGAACTAGCACGAGTGGTTCTGATGAACTTCCTCACCTGCGTAATTTCAGAGAGTTTTGACCTGTCTCAATGATATTGGTTTGTAGGAAACGAAGTGGATGTCAATTCCTATTGATTGGGATAGCTTTGTGAGGAGGACAACAATGGAATGCTGCAATATATACAAGTCACAACGGATGGAGATAAACTGCTGCATGCATGCATCTTCGCTTATTGTGCCACCTGATTCCATTTACCCTTGGTGAACATTCAATTCATTATCTCACCGAGTTGCATTCTGTTACCTCTATGGGACGAATGATGACCACGTTTTTGTTGTGCTTGTAATAAGGGTTGGTGCTGGGCAGGAGTTTGCACTGTCATAGATGGTTGCCCCTTCCTCCCAGCGTTTCCAGCCTCCGAATTATCTTTTTCATTTATTTTGGTGTGCTTACTCTCTATTGAATTGAACATTCCTTGCTTGAATATTCAACTTGTTGAAAAGACAATTTATTCGAGATGTATTGTAATTTGCTCAGTTCTACTGTATCTTTGTGATGAAATGATGTTTCACTCATTTCATTGGAGGTTGTAGCTAGCACCTACCTTGCATCCCAAGGGCCTCATCGCACTAGGTGTCAGGATAGCTTAGCTGAGTTACTTGATGTAATTTTGGCTGTGCTATATGCTGCGAGAAACAACAGGTAGGTACATATGTGAATTTTCGATCACTCTTGGTGATGTTCAAGAAAACGGGGCTGAAAGGGGACGGATCGCTCGCTTAACTGTCCGTTGTTATGTGGAAGTGGGACCTCTCCGTGAAATAACTGCGGATAGCACCCCAGCAGAGTCGCGGTACGTGACGATTCGAACATGAGTTGGCAGGTTGATGCAAGCAGCTGCTTCACTACCGCCGATCTGCTCAATGCCTATGGACCTACATACATACACTGTCTGTAAGCATTACAGTACAGCCGTATGTACCTACTGAATGGACGTGTAAGATGAAGGACGAAGGAACATGAATGTTCTTCTCTTCTCATCTTCTTTTTTTCTGGCGCGACCTGAAAGTAAGTAAATACTTAAACTACTGGCCGATCGCTGGTAGACCAAGAAAACCACCAGGGCTATTTCTCGCCTATTCTGAGAGCTACAGTAGCCTCGCCTCTGACGCAGGGCTGGTTCCTTTTCAGGAGCCAGCTTGTTAAAATGGTTTTTAGGAAGGTTCTAGTAACCGATTTGGACCGATTTTCAAACCTTTCGACAATTTGTTTTCATTTTTTTGTGTTTTCTTTTATCAGTTTTTCGCGGTTTTTTCTATGTGTCGTATTCTTTTTTGTTTTTTTGTTTTAGTTTTTTACTATTCATTATTTGTAGTTTTATGTTTGGTTTCCAACAGTTTTTTTGGGTCTTGTCTGCGTTTCTATATAGGTTTATTTTGTGTGTTATTTTTTCTCTAATTTTTATGACACACGTCTACCTTTCTATAGGTTTATTTTTTCTCTATTTCTCAAATTTTCGTATGTATCAGCAATCTTTTGTATACATGCTATCATTTTCCAAAATAAATTTTTGATGTATACTTTTTTTTCTTGCACATTCTACATTATTTATATACATCAGCAACATTATTTAAATATAATTTTAAAATTTTCAAACACGTGATTATCTTCATTTCAAATATACGTTTTTGAAAATAAAATAAAATATGTGTTAAACATTTTTGTCAAAAACACTTTGATCTTTTTATTTAATGATATGAAAGATTATTTTCGACTACATGAATAATAGTTTTACCTTGTATAAACATTTTTAAATATCACAAACACATTTTTGGAAACATGAGAACTTTTTATAAAGTATCAGGTACATTTTTTGAATGTTATGAAGCATTGTTCTTTGAATTACAGCAACTTTTGTTAATGTTGTATAAACATTTTTTTTATTTCACGGACATTTTATTGAAATCGGGAACAGTTTGAAATTCCAGGAATAATTTTTAAATATTATCAACAATTTGCAAGAGTTGCTCGAATGTTATTATTCTCACAATATTAACAATTTTATGTTCACAGAATGGGTGTGTTTTTTCAGTATCAGTTTTTCCACTTAAAAAATGTATGTAAAATTTATAAAAGTAATATTTGTGTGCTTTTCAGACACAACGATCGCACAATGGCTCGGTCAATTTAAGGAGGCGCCTCAAGTGAGCGGACATTTCTAAATATTGTTTGTGCTTAAATGAATATCCTTCAATTATTTTTATGCTTCCAAATATTTGTGTAATTTCAACAATTATTCTCTAATTTATCGAAATGTTTGTGTATTCCAACAAGTTCTCATTAAATTAAAAAAATCTTGAGTTTTAAAATGTGTACTAATTCTGAAAATTATGTCGAACCAACACAACCTGGAATAGGATCAAACCAAAAACACAATAGCATTGAACTAAAAGAAAATGAAACAAAAGGGGGAATACAAACGAACAGAACAAAAGAAAATCGATGGAGCTGATCAATACATCGGACGGGACTATGGTGTGATGCCTTATGCCTCGGCATCTTGATGTGGTATGTCTCAAAAAGGGATTACTCCATGGGAGCTCCTATACGGCGGCGCCTTCTGCGCCCGGAACCAACTAGCGCTCATGAACGCAAAAGCGGGCTGCGACCCAGAAATGAGCTTCGCTCCCACCTCTCAATCGCTACACCTGCATGCCCACTTCTTTTGCTCACTCGGCCGCGGGCAACTTTGTTTTTTTGTTTTTTCTGTTGGCCTAGTAGAAAAAACCGGCGATTTCCTAATACTCGCGAAACTTGTTATCTTCTTTTTGTCAATTTTGTGTGATACTCGTTGACTGAAACTTGTTTCACTCTTAATAAAATCGTTGTGGATTGACCCCACGGCAACCATCCAAAAGAAACTATTCGAGGCGAAGCCGATCGATCGATAAGTCTGTCTGACTGGATCACAGCGACATCACCTAGAAATATCTTGCTCTAGTCGAGGCGCCGCAACAGTGATTTGTCGGAGGGAGACGTGTGGAGAGAATGGAGCGAGGCAGCAACAAAAGGCTAAGCGGTCGTCGGCCCACACACACATGCGCCCTTGCTGCCTCTCCGTGCGCGCGTTGATAGCCAGCCAACCAGCCAAGAGGAGAAGAAAAAATCATCGGAGAGCAGTGGTGAGAGGCAGAGAGATGGCGGCCATGGCGGACACCGAGGCCCCCTTCCTTCTGCCCGCTAAAGACGACGAGGCGGCGCCACTCGCCGGCGTCTACGACTTCCGCGGTCGCCACGTGGTGTTTAGGAGAGCTAGGTCTAACAGGTGTTTCAAGATTTTCAGTTTCAAGTACTTCATCTATTTCAACAATTTCATCAGTTTTAGCATGCTCAGTATCTTTAGCTCTAGCAATTTGTTTATCAAGAAATTCATCTAGTGGCACATCATTATCAAGCAATGTACTAGCATCATCATAAGTATGATTCATAGCAGAAGTAGCATCGTCAATAACTTGCGACATATCAGGATTAATAGCATGTGGTGGTGTTGCAAGTTTACTCAAAATAGAAGGTGAATCAAGTGCAGAGCAAGATGGCAGTTCCTTACCTCCCCTCATCTTAGAGGGAAAAATCTTGGTTTTAGTATCCTTCATATTCTTCATAATGATAAATTGATAATAATCCCAAGTGACTCAACAAATATAGCTATATGCTCCTCGGCAACAGCGCCAAAAAAAAGATCTTGATAACCCACAAGTATAGG